TTTTAAGGGACCATAAATCACAAAAATAATAATGAAAATTGAATCTCTTAATGAAAAAGCAAGGAGTCTTATTAAATATAACAATGACTACTTGTTCTAATATATTTGTTTGCAATATATACAACTTAAATAACTTTTATAGTATATTATTAATTTTAAATTATATATTTAATAATGCAATATCTATGTAAATATTACATATATTATTTTGTGATATTAATTGCAAGCATATTATATATGTACATATTATTTATATTTTTAATTTGTATTAATATACCGTTTAACATGTAATTTTTTTATGTATTTTTTTACAAAATAAAAATAAAAATAATTTAAAATAAGATAGAAAAATTGAAATTTAAAATAAGATATGAATTTATTAAAAATTATAAGTATAAAATATATTTAATATAAATATTTTTTTAATAAAAATAAATAAAAATCGAGTCATGCAGTTCAACTAATGACCCACCGGTTCAACCTTTGACCCACTGACCCAGTACCTTAACCGGTTCGATGACCGGTCCGATTTTTAAAACTATGCCTAAAACTAAAACCTACACTACACCAAAATATTAATTAATTATAAAATAATAATATTTGTAAGATTTGTATCGCTAGATCTTCCTACACCAATCATACTTTTTGTTGCTAAATATTTATCAAATCTTAAATATTTGAGTTTATCAATCTTATCCAAAAATATTAACTTAGCATTTTTGTTTCTAAAACATATTTTTTATTATTCAAATGTAGTTACTATTTGAATATCTCTAAAAGAAAAAACACTTTTGAATATTATTTATTACATAGTTTAATTAAAATCTAGAGAACTCGGACAAATCCAAAACGGAAAAAGGGTAAAAAGATCAAGCTATATTTCACCTATTTTTCATTCTATCTTTCTACTTATGTCATTTTTGTAATATATATACTATCCTTTGTTTTAAAGTTAGAAAAGTTAATATTATCGGCAAACACTAGTTGTTAAACTATTTCAAAGTAATGAGAAGAACCCCTAAATTAAAAAGGATTTTGTTTTAACCCAGGCTACGGTAACTAATTTCAAAGATTATTTAAGCTTGAGCTCTATTCAATTAAACTTAGAACATTTTTACCTTGCAATAAGAAAAAAGTTTATTATCATCGGGGTAGTTTTTTAATCCATTTGAATATCTCTAAAAGAAAAAATATTTTTTGAATATTATTTATTAGATAGTTTCATTAAAAACTAGGGAAACTTGGACAAAACCAAAACACAAAAAGGATATAACGATCAAGCTATACTACCAAAAATACATCTATGTTTTTTCATATTTTATTCATATGAAATGACTATGCTACAAGTGGTTTTTGACAACATAGAAATGGTGCATATTAGAGGACCACAATTTCATTCATCTTGCTATTTTTCTTTTTTTCTTCTCTCTCGCCAATAATTGTTTTGTAATTTTAAAGTAAAACCAGTGGTCTTGTTGTTAGCATAAAATCTTTGATGTTGTTTCTTACCTGATTTTTCCATGCCACTGTTGCTCCAATTTTTACTTGGAATGAAGTTGAGAAATTAGAATTTTACTCAAAAAGCCTCTTTAATTCTATAGATACGGTGTCAATTTGCTAACAAGATGATAAATCAATACTCTGTTGAGTATGTGGAGTTTGAAGGGTTTATTGGGCTTCGCCCATTTGCTTTCTTTCTTTCTTATAAATGCTCATGTAATTGTAAACCTAACAAGATGAAATAGAAAATATCATCTAGTGCAGTCGTGGACGTAGGTTATTCTGATCGAACCATGTAAATATTTGTATCTTGTTAATTTACTTTCTCTCTTACAATTGTGTGAGTGAGTGCATTTGGGATCCCCAACAACTGGTATCAGAGCCTAATTTTCACGCGAGTGGGAGCAATGGGAGAAGACAGGGAAGTGAAGATTGACAAGTTCGATGGGAGTGATTTCAAATTTTGGAAGATGCAAATTGAAGATTATTTATATCAGAAGAAGTTTTATCATCCTCTGTCCGAGAATAAACCAGAAACGATATCTTAGGAAGATTGGAATTCGCTAGATCGACAGGCTCTAGGGGTTGTCAGATTGACGTTGACGAAGAATGTCGCCTACACCATTGTCAATGAGAAGACGACATATGGTTTGAGAAAGACATTATCAAACATGTACAAGAAGCCATTAGAATCAAAAAGGTATTTCTTATTCATCAACTAGTTAATACGAAGATGGGAAAAGGTGTTAGTGTTACAAATCATGTTAATGAATTTAATTCCTTATTGTCGAGCTAGATTAGTATTAGTGGATATTAAATTTGATGATGAAGTACAAGCCCTATTGTTGCTATCCTTATTGCCTAATAGTTGGTCAACAACTGTCACAACAGACGCTAGTACATCTGGGACTACGAAATTGACCTTCAAAGGAATTAGGGATTTAATCCTTTGTGAGGATGTCCGTAGGAGAAATGCCGGAGAATTAGCAGGTTCCTTATTGAGCACAGAAGGTAGAGGCAGAAGGTATGAAAGAGGGCAAGGTTCTAGACGTGATAGATCAAATTCCAAGAAGCGAGGATAGTCCAAACCTCACAAGGATATTATTTGTTAGAATTGTCAGCAGAATGACCACTTCAAAAACCAGTGTACTGCTCCTTTTGCCCCTAAAGAAAATAGGCATGAAAACACAATTAATTCAGCACAAGAAGACATTTATAATGCGTTGAGAGTAAGTTTGAATCCTGGATCATGGATTATGGTGCACCTTTCCATGCTTCTCATTACAAGGACTCGATGAAAAATTTCATAATTAGGAATTTTGGCAAAGTTCATCTAGTAGATGATGAAGCTTTAGACATCATAGGCATGGGAGATATAAATCTTAGAATTTTTGCGGGTACAATATGGAAACTGAAGGACGTCAGATATATTCTAAGACTCAAGAGAATGTTAATATTTGTGGGTATGTTAGATGTTCAAGGATATCGACTTACATTCGGAGATGGTCAGTGGAAGGTGCTG